TAGATGGTCTAAGTTCAATTCCTATCCCTGTTTCCTACAAACTGTTCTTGGGCAAGTCACCTAACTGCTTTGTGCCTCAGTTTTCTTCATCTGTTAAACCCATTGCCATCGAAGTCAATTCCAAATCATAGCAACCCTACAGGATGAAACAGAACTGCCCCATAGGATTTGTAAACCTGTAAATCTTTACAGAAACAAACTGCTACATCTTTCTCCTGTGAAGCAGCTGGTGAATTCAGACTATTAATGGAGCTATTAATCGGGCTGCTAACCTCAAGGTCGGCAGTTCGAAACTACCAGTGGTTCCGTGGGAGAAAGATGAGGTGTTCTGCTCCCGTAAAGATTTGCAGCCTCGGAAACCCTGTGCAGGGTCACTATGAGTTGGAACCGACTCCACGGTTCCAACTCATAGTGACAACAACAACAATGTGTCACTTAGCAATGGAATGCTTTACCCAATACACCACCAGGCACTTTAAAATACAGATAATGTTGTTGTTAAGTACCAGAGAGTCAATTCCTACCTATAGTGACCCTGTATTGAGTTTCCAAGGAGTTGCTGCTTGAACCTCCTACCTTGCAGTTCAAACCAACATTGCAATCTAGTACATTATCTCACAGTGTCATGCCAGGATACCAAAACAGGGATAATACCTGTTTCCTATGGTAGAATCCCTGGGTAATGCAAATGGTTAATAATCTGCTCAGTTGTTAACTGAAAGGTTGGAAGTTTGAGTTCACAGAGAAGCACCCTAGAAGACAGACTTATGATCTACTTGCCAAAAAGCAGTCAATGAAAGCCCAATGGAGCACAATTCTATTTTGACAAACAGGGGTCATCATGAGTTGGAATTGTATCAAGGGCAACTGTCTTTTTTGTTATATTTCTCTATTGTTGTTGAGAGGCATATGTGAAATGATGCATTTAAAGTGCTACAAATAGAGCCTGGCATACAGAAAATATGCTAAGACTCCTAATAAATGTTAGCTGTTAACTGTTTGCATTACTACCGCCATCATCATGGACTTGCCAGGTATCTGGAGAAAGTCACCTAGTCTTCGTTTTCCTCATTAGTTCAGTGACCTCATCCTGGACTACCTTTGGTAAGACTCAAACAACGGACTTTTAAATAAAAAAATAACAAAAGAAAAAAAAAACAAAAAAACTTCTTATCTATTTTAAGATACTTGATCTTCTAACTCCAACTCATCCCACCTGAAGAACCAGTCACATAGAATCCTTTTCTTGCTTCTAATAGAAGTTTTAACCATTGACCACTCTGCTTTGGTCACAAGGTCCCGTCATTTTATACTGCCTTTCCCCATTTTCTCCCAAACATCTAAATACTCAGTGGCCTTCAAGTTAGTCCTTCCTCTTCTCCTTCCCAGAAGTGCTAGGGTCCTCTAGATTTTAAAAGTAGTCTTTTTTCTTTTGTGATTATCTATATGTTATTTTTAATCCTAATTTCTGAGGCCTACAAAGTTAAGCTTTTCTCAACGTCATGAGACTTAGTTCAGTAGAGTGAAAAAGTATGAAATTTCACTTAGCTTATCAAAATCTAGGACTATTCTTGAGGCTTGTTTAAAAAACAAACAAACAAACAAAAAAAAAAAACAGTACACAAGATTAATAAACAAAACCTAAAGGCCTTAGAGTTGTATCCTTAAGTTAACAGTAATGGGATAGTATATGGTACTGGAAGCAATTTTAGACATGTATCCCATAAGCTGTACTCTGTAAAGATATTTATACAAATTGTTGTATTGTTGTTTAGTGCTGTCAAGTTGGTTCTGACCCATGGTGACCCTGTTTAAGGTTTCTGAGGAGCAAAAAAAATTTCACCATTATTTCAGCTCCTATACATATGATTTTTTGTGTGTGTCTATTAAAAAAGTATATAATAAAAATAAAGTGAATAAAGGTAAAAACTTAATTGATGGTACATGGATTGGATTGCAATCATTGTAATGACACAAAGTATATAGTTTGTTGCATGTGGGACTGATAATCTAGATGTTCTGTAAACATTTAATTTACACTTAAAAGGTTAAAAAAAAAAGTAATAACACCAATGATAAAGTATTATTGAAAAAAAATGTTGAAACTAAATCTAATTAAGCTTCTAAATCCAACTACCAAATAGCTGAAAACCAAACTCACTGCCATCAAATTAAAACACACTGGCACGTACATATACACCAAAAAGATAGAGGGGAGACAGATGAAACAATAGCTGTACAAATAAATGGGTGACAGGTAGATGAGGGTTCATTATACTAATTCTCTACTTTGGGGAATCTGAAAATTTCTCCATAATATTTTGAAAGAATGATGATAAATAAATATTATAAGATATACGAAGTAACGATATTTGCTAACAAGTATTAAAAAATCATTGTTAACTAATTTGATAAGAAATCATGTATAAAGCATATGACAAAATTATCAATGATCTCTGGGCCTAGTAAGATTTTACTTTCAATATTACATTGCAACAACAACAGTTTTCATTTTCTTGAATCCTTAATTCAGAATTGCTTGAAAGAAGGGACAAAGTGTTCTGTGTTTCCCTCCAGTCAGTGGTCTGTGAGATGTAGATCTTGTGGCCTCACAAGTGGCTTTCTACTTTACACTAGAATTACCCATTACAAATCTTAACTCCCCCAGTAGCTGAGAACCAACTTGAGAGCAGACTCTGCATCTGATCACCTTTGTAAGCCTTGAAAGTGCAGAGGTGGAGGACACACCAGAAATTTGGCTTTAATTGGCCTGGGTTGGGACCCAGGTTTTGGTATATTTTTTAAAGTTTTGTAGGTGTGGTAGCAAGGTTCGCAGTTCAAACCCACCAGGTGCTCCTCGGAAATCCTATACAGAGTTGCCACGGCACTTAACAACAACAACAACAGAATATTCTAATTTGCAGCCAGGAAGGACTGAGAACTACTGGGCCCAACCTTATTCTTGGTGCTAGTAATAAATATGTATAGAATCGGTGAATAAATTAACACTTCCACTGATAGTCATAACAGAGAGGGAGATGGAAAATTAACATTTTATACTTCAATAAACAGACTCAGAGTGAAAGGGACATTCTCAAGCCACCTTAGTGAAGCCCCAGCCCTAGGAAATAATATTCCTTCCAACTAGTGAGTACTGTTGACCTCACAAGGCTCAATTGTCCTCTGCTCCTGCCCAGAGTGGGGCCTGAGGCCTAACATGGAGGTATAGTCAGAGGTAGGTGTCCTGGTGTGGCGCTGTGGGTTAATGCGCCAGAATGCAAAGTCGTTAAAACTGCAAGGTCAGTAAATAGACAAAGGTTCACAAAACAGACTAAATGCTTTAGAGAAAGGAAGATCGCTTAAGGGAAATAAGACCCAATATATCCAGATTACACTCCCAGCTAAGGTTACTCATGGTATAAGTAGATTTGTGTTATCTTTCAGTAACCCAGAAATTGATTGGAACTTAATCCAACAGCATTTTAGGAGGTTGTGGAACAATATACACTTGTCTGTGGATATTCATCAGCTACATGCTCAAATTTATGATATAAGTAATTCTCAAAGTGAACACTGAGTGGCTACTAATTTGCTACCCCTGCTAGAGAGTAAGATCCCCTAAGAACTTGATTGAACCTCAGCATAGTGATCCTGCTTGGTCACCTTAGAGCAGGTGGTGGGCCGGCCACGTCTGGCGCATGGGGTCCCCAGCCAATCTCCTCCCTCCCTGCCTTCCTCGGATGGCGGCTGTTTATGCTGGACGTGTGGCCAGAGACGGGTAAGGATCACGTGGAACCTTGGCTACTTAAGACAGAGCCATTGCCATGCTGCAATGAGTTTCAATGACTGGTAAGACTGAGGAATTCGCACTGACCGCCTAAGACAGGCAGCGACCCTTAAACAAACAATAAATAAGGAGGATTCGGATGCAGACCTTGCAGACCCGGTCAGGAGGCCAAGCCCCTGTGGGCCTAAGCGTTGTTGACCGTCCAAACCATAGGCTCTGAGGATCAGACTCTAGCTACCTAGCAGACATAACAAACTGTCCCTCATCTGATTATTCAGTAATGCTTGTTAGTAATCTCATACATGAGCCCTGAATATCCACAGACAAATGTAAAAACCTTCCCTAAAAGCCGAGACTGTAAATTCCAAAAAGGCAAGTCCCCCCCATCCAAAAAAAAAAAGAGGATAGAAACACTGTTAACTGATGATATATGGAGGGGATAATAATCAATGTAATGAAACAAGCTATATGAATGGTTGAATGTGAAGCGGATGATGTGCCCTGTAAACTTTCACTCAATCCAAAATAAAAACATTTAATTAAAAAAAAACCCTGCAAGGTCAGCGGTTCAACCGCAATTTCCCTGGTCCTATGAGACACTCCCTTGGATGAAAGGTGAGGGTATTGGGAAAGGGTGGTGCTATGGGAATCATTGGGTTCCTGGGTTCCAAGTCTTTTTCTTCCTCCCCCCTCCCCCCTCCAGCCCACAGCTTGGTGATCACGGAAGAGAATGCATATGTTACAGGCAAGGGAATGTAGGGTACGGAAGGTAAACACACTTTGCCCATGGTCAGCATGTACAGAACCTTTAGTAACTGTCTCAGGCGCCAGTGTGGGCATTGATGGGCTTTCGAAGCGGAGTGAAGCGCTAGATGTAGAGCTGGAAGGACTGGGAAAAGTGTCCGCTTCTCATCTTAAACATTTCTCAAAGACCAGATCCTGGAAACCCCACCTCCCTGCAAGACCCGCCCTTGCTCAGCCAGCCTGAAAGTTCCACCCCAAGCCTCTAGCTAGGATGGATCCAATTTTATTGGGTAAGGATTAGAAGGGGCGGGGTAAATTATAGCCCAACCACTTCGTTTATTATAGTAGAATGAAACTAGATCTTGCTTGGGGAAATGACTCCCCGAAGTCCATAAAGTGAGTTACGTTTTATGTGCCTATGTAGACCCTAGAATCTATCCATCCCTTACCACCTCCCCTCCCCAGCTACCTGTTGCTTTGGTAATGAGAACAGGCTCCAGTTGAGACTCTGTAAGTGGCTGCAGGAGGCTGGAGAGGCTGAGGACAGGACTAGATACACTGACCATGAGCCAAGCTCCGTCCACGGCCCGCGGGCAACTGTGCTCGGGAGTCAGACCTCTGGCCCAATTCGCGGAGGCGGGGAGTGGGATGTAGCGGCTCATCTCGCAGTGTGGCGCAGGGGCGCCGCGCGGGTAGCGTCTTATGGCCGCTTGGAAGGTTCCAGCGGGGTCTGTGAGTGTGAAGAAAGGGGAGCGGCTGTAGTTCTTCTGGGAAAGAGGCGGGGTGAGCAGCGCCTGGGTAATTTCAAACGCACACACTACCCCGATAGTTAAAGATTTCGAGATAAACCAGATTCGATTTACAGAGGGGGAAACTAAGGCCCAAGGTCACATAAAGAGGAGGGGACTTCGGTGGAGGCAGTAGATTTGGGGATGAGTCCCGGAAGGCTCACCGTGCACACTGAGGTAGAGTTTGGGGTCGAGGTCAGGCCGGGGAGGAGGCCTCTCCAGGCTCTGGCGCAGCAGTAGTGCGGCGGGTTTCTTGGTCAGGCCGCCACCGCCGCCTACATCCTCCACAAACCAGCACTCGAGCACTGCGGGTCCTGCCCAAACGGTAGTCGCCAGGCCTGGGGGAGAGGGTACTGGTGAGTGAACGTCTGGTGGCCTCCTTGTCCCGTCCCCCCACCCCCGCCTTCCCCGCCGCCTGGCAGGACCACTTCCCTCCCCTTCCTTCCTGGGAGAAAAGTCGTGGGGTTCAGGGGTTCGCTTACCCAAAGCGACAGTGAGGAGCAGGGACAAGAGCTTCATGGCGCTGTGATGTCTTCAGCCCGGAAGCCTTCTCTTCCCCCTTTTACTTTCACTTTCTTCAAAGACCAGTAGAGAGGGGAATTCCTGCTCTGACTAGGTGAGGGTGGGGGAGTTGGGTACGTTCCCCCACTGTTGGGGCTGAAATCTGGGGACATCCCTTACAGTTTTGTCCTGGTACCCCTGCCCAGCCCCTTCCTCCTGGACCACCCAACACAGCTGGGTTGCAGGACCCTCCCCCATCCCATCCCCTCGCATGCCCCTCCCAGGAAATGTTTACTGTTTTCCCCCACCTGTGCGAGGTCCTCAGCAAAGACATACAGGGGTTGTCACAAAGCCATGTGAAATGATCAATAAATATTTTAATCACCGTTAAAAAAAATAAGATTTAAAAGGAAAACCTTGTGTTTCTACAACGTATTCCCTCGTCTCCACCCCCTCCACCCTCCAGAGAACCGAGTTGGGGAACCCTATGGGTGTGGGGGAGGGAGAAGAGGGGTGGGTAGAAATAAGGGATCCATCCTGTGGGAGAGATAGGTTCTAGGGCAAGGGTGGGGTTTGAAGGCCTGGTCCCTACAACACCACACACACAGACTTCAGGCACAGACTACAACCACGTGTCCCTTGACCCTGTTACTCCAGGGTGCTCAACAGCTCCCCTCCACCTCCAATACAGCCCTACTCTTGTGGAGCTGGGGTTTCAGTGTACCCATAAAAGGCTTAGTTCTGGAGATAACTTCTGTGGAGTTGGGGGGTGGTTGAGGAGTGGAATGGGTTGGTGATGATGTAGCTGGCCTCCCACTCCCAAATATATACAAGTCCAAACAGATAAGGAAGACTGTAAGTAGAGTGGGAGGTCACCCAGGAGCCATAGCATCCTAGCTCCTCCCCCCTGTTCCCTCCTTCACAACAGCTAACCCCAATAGCCGTGGCCCCTCAGTTTGCCCCTCCGCCCCCATTGAAGCCCATCTCCACCTTGTGAACACTAGTTGGGGACCAGACCCTTGGGCTGGGAGGCGGTGTGGCCCCACTCGTCTCATCGCCACTACCGCCCCCTGCCCCATGGGACTCTCGCTTGGGCTGTACAACTGACCCAGTGGGCGGCCCAGGCCCCGCCCCACCCAGGCGGTGCCAACGTTCACAGTGTCCTCTGTGGCGCATGAAGCTATCGCGCCACATGAACTTCTTGGCGCAAACACTGCATTCGTAGGGTTTGAGGCCTGTATGCGTCTTCATGTGCTCGGTCAGGTGGTGTTTCATCTTGAACTTCTTGTTGCACACGGGACAGTCAAAGGGCCGCAGGTTGAGGTGCATGTTCACATGGCGGTCCCGCATGCTCTTGTGTGAGAAGGCCTTTCCACAGTGGCACAGGAAGATCTTATTTCCGTCCCCACCACCTGTCCCCCCAGAGGCCCCGCTAGTGCTCCCTGGTACACCTAAGCCCCCTGATGACGTGCCCCCCAACGTCACTGCCCCATGCTCTGCCTGGTTCCCTGGTGGTTGGCCTGAAGCCTGTGAAGATGAGGGAAAGACTAGGATCTGGCTGCCCTGCATGTCCAGGGGAAGCAGAGGCCGTGGAGGGTGGGAAGGTGTGTAGGAGGAGGTCGTAGGCCCCCCTGAGTCATCCAGCCCAGCCCCAGGACCCCCACCTTCATAGGGACCAAAATCATTGGAGGACTCACAGAAATTGACCTGCTCCTCCCCCTTGTCTGGAGGCTCAGTCAGGGTGCGGACATCACTTATGCTCAGAGTAGCCTCAGGCCCTCCCCCTGCTGGGACCCCTGAGCCACCCCCCAGCTCTTCATCTTCATCATCCTCACAGGTCAACACCAGGTCCTCCTCCTCTTCCTCCTCCTCTAGATCTGGATCCTGGGGAACCAGAGGTGCTGGCGCTGGACAGTTTCCACCCTGCTTCACATATACCCAGTGCTTCTGCGGCATGATGCTGGGGGGTGCGTAGGAGGGCCGACGGTGGTGTCCAGTCCCGGGGACTACCGCGCCCCTGCCATCCCCACCATCATCGCACAGTTCATCCGCCTCCAGCAGCAGTTTTCCAGAGGTGGCCCCACCACTGCCCACCACAGGGGCTGGGAATACAGTGCCCCCTCCTCTCCGCTCTCCACTGCCCCCTGCAGAAGCTGCAAATGCCTCTTGGGAGGAAGAGGAGAAATCAGTGGACTCTCGAGGGCTGAAGTAGTTGCTGCTACTCGGGGACTGGTTCTCACTGGCCTGACTGGAGGCATGAGAACGCACAGAGCCCACGGGAGTGGGGGCCACAGTGCCCCCACTCCCTGCTGGGGCCCCACTACCAGGGACAGTGGCTGAGGGCGCTGTAGAGGTGCTGATGGTGGCTGAGGCACGGCCTTCACGGAGGAGTTCAGTGCACTTGTCCACAATGTGCCACATTTGGAGCACAGAGCCCACGGTGAGGAAGTTGACAATGTCAGCAGCAGCCATGCTGAGACGGCCAGTGTAAGCAGAGGCCAGGACAGTCTCAAAGGCGCCTGGATCCATGACGCTGGGCAGTGAGATGGAGGTCATGCCCTTGAGTAGGACCTGGTCATGGAAGTAAGGGGAGGAGGCAGCCAGAACAGCACGATGGGCACGGAACTCTCGGCCCTGTACTCGGATGGACACATCGCAGAGCTGGCCCTGTAGTCGTTGCTGGTTGAGGGACTCCAGGAGGGCACTGGTCACCTCAGGGAAAGACACATGTACCACTGCAGCTGCTGGCAGTGGGGGCTGGGCCAGTGACAGGGGCAAGGGAAGGGCTGCCCCACTGGGAGACAGAGAAGATGGCTCCATGGTGTTGAGGGGGGGAACCCCCCCCAGCCACAGGAACAAAGGAAGGACAAGGGCGGCCGGGGGGGTATCTAGGGAAAAAAAGAGAATAGTAACAATAATATCCAGTAACACAGCCCTTTACAGTTTACAAACATCTTCACACAAATCATTATCTAAGTAACTGCCTACAACACTATGAGGTAGGTATACCTCTCAACCCCATTGGACAGATGAAGATACTGAGGTTGAAAATATTAAGCAATTATCTACAGTCACAAAGCCAGTAAGTGGCAGCGCCAGCAAACGCAAATCTCTTAACTCCAAATCCAGTGCTCTTTGGAGATGAGGGAAATAAAAATGCTTTTAGAGAGTAGGGTCCCTCCCCTTCAAATTACATCGTTATTTCCCACTTGCTTGAGAACCTGACGTTCCAAAAATTCACCTTTTTGTCGCTTTGCTCCCTTTTCTTGGGAGGAGGAAAAAGTCTGCCCCAGTATTAAATATCCCTTCTCTTCATCCCCCTCAGGCCATGCCCCACTCCCCCCTCAGACTCTCTCAATGACCACGCCCCCTTACCCCAGCTTCCCCATAGCCCCGCCCCTCTGTGATTACAACCCCGCCCCCCGACTACCCCCGCCCACAACGGACCCCGCCCCCCTCTACTCCGCAGCAAGCACTACAACGGCCTCCTCTCCCACCCGGAAGGTGCCCCCAACCCCGCGCGTCCCCGCTTACCGGGCCGCGCGCCCCCGGGCCCCCCCGCCCCTCACTTGGCGGCCAGAGCCGCAGCCTGGGCCCCTCCCGCCGCCATCTTGCGCCGACTCCCTCCGCCCTCCGCCCCCGCTCCGCCTCTCGCCCCTCCGACATTAAAGGCACAGCCGGGCACCCCGCCCTTGCCGCTGGGCAATACTCGGCCGACTCGGCCAATTCTCCTTTAAAAAACCATCGCCTCATTCCACCTTAAAGGCACCAGGTTCCTTCCTCCACTGAGGGTTCAGGATTTGGTTCGGCCGAAGCATTCACTCCCCTTTAATTCTGTAAGCCTGCTCTTCCAATTAGCGATGGGTCCTAGCCTTCTCTGCCCAGGCTCCTCCCCTGAGCCGTGGCCATTAGCAGGCTTACCGGGTCGAATCGCCCTCGCCTCCCAGCTTCTGACAGTTCTCCCTAAGTCCCGCCCCCTTCCTCCTGGCCTGGATTGGTCAAATAACCTTGAGTCGGCCTCTGATTGGCCTCTTTACTCCGACCGCTCTTAGTGAGAAAGTAAAGCGCGTTAAGGAGGCCGAAGCACTTATTTCAGTCTGGCAGAGGACAGGCAAGGCCCAAAGGCTGAGAAACGCCAAAACTTGCATAGGTCAGGCTGGAATGGGCAATTCCAGGGCGAATCTTGGCTTGAGCCAGGAAAGAACTGGTGTCAGCCTGTGACAGCAAGATCACAAGGAAAAGACAGGGCTACAATAAGAAAAGAACTTTATTGTGTCTGTGAAAAACTTAAGCTTTTGTGTCTTTAAAAGAAACACCGCCAAAAGGGATGAGTTCAGTCCTTTCCCTTTTCAGCCATCTGCTCTCAAACATCCTCCAAATGTTATCCTCAAAACACTCAGAAGACGGGGAAGGTGAAGACTGAGGAACCAGTTAATCAGAGTCTGAAAGCACAATGATCTCCTCTGGATCACACTGTGTGGCCACACTCATCTGCAGGGGAGTGAGAGACAAATGTTTAAGTGTCAGAGATCTGGGGTTCAGGAGTGGAGAAGCAAAGGAAGCGGCATATTACAGATAAACATTGGGGTGCAAAACAAGGAAGAGAGGATGTTTTGTTGTTGTTGTTAATGTGCCGTGGAGTCGGTTCCGACTCATAGCCACCCTGTACAGGGTTTCCGAGGCTGTAAATCTTTGCGGGAGCACAAAGCCTCATCTTTTCTCCTGAGAAACAGCTGGTAGTTTTGAACTGTTGACCTTGTGGTTCACAGCCCAATTCAAAACCACTATATACGCTACCAGAGCTCTCTTAGAGAGAATGTAGCAGGGTACAATATTCAGTAAAGCTGAAACTGAAAGGCAACGATAGAGAAGAAACTGGCAGAAGTTAACAGCCTCCACCCCTTCCTTACCTTGTAAGTACCAGGCCGGGGGCCTTGGGATTGAGGAATTTGGGGCAGCCTAGCTGAAGGGCTGTAGAGGGAGCTGGTGACCAGAACATGGCTGGGAGAGTCCCTTGTCGAGGAATCAGCAACTGGGGTTATGGATGCCAAGGGTGAGGGTGGGCTGGCAAGGGTACATATAATCTTCCCATTCTTCTCATGCACTGCCCTTTGCTTTTCCACATAGCTGGAAAAAGAAACAGAAATGTGTGGAGGGGGTAAAGTGAGTAAGACTAGAAGGGGAGTGTGCCATCTCACCCCCAGCAGACTATCCAATACTTTTCTCAAAAAGCCACCCACAATCCTGCCCTGGCTTCCCTTTCTCCAAGCTGTTTGTTACCTGTCTCCTGATCCTGTGTCCTTCTCCTTCCGAGGTTTCTTGCCTGGGGGGGAGGAATCTCCCCAATTATGAGGAGACACACCTCCATTGAAGGAATTAGAAGTGACCATGGCTGCTCCGTTCTCCAGAACAGTGGAGAGGGAGACCTCTGTGTGCTTCCTGGTAGAAGATATGTCCCTCTCCTCAGGGGAAGGGGTGGCCTCCACAGGCAAAGCTTCGATCTCTAGCTCAAAGAGCTGAGACATAGGACTCTCTTCCTCCTGGGGCAACTTTTCTCCATTGCTTTCAGCATCTGTGCTGGAAAGAGCCAGCGGCTCCTCTGACAGTGAAGATGGTGGGGATAGTGGGAGTGTTTTGTTTGGCTGCTCCCTTGAAGACTTGTTTGTCTCTTTGCCAGGTTCCAGGTCCTTCTTAGGGGAGATGTGTGATGGGGGTAGGGGGCTCTTGTCTCCATCTTTGCCTGGGAGAAAAGTACAGGTGGTATGAGAACTAAAGGAAAAATATGGCTGAAAGGACACAGTAAGGAGAGGAGCAAGGCGTTTCAATAGGTGGCTTATGCTCAAGATAGTAGAGGAAACAGACACATGCGGAGCATGCTTCCCCGACATACCTGCTTCCTCTTCCTCCTCTTCACTGGTCCCCTGACATTCCTGCATCTGTTCCAGATCCTCCTCTTCAGAATCTGTGGCCTCCTCCTCTTCCTCATCATCACTTTCCTCATCTTCTTCCTCATCTGTTTCAGCCTTGGAGGTGGTAGGGCACTCCTGGGATGCCAAACCACTAGGACCCTGGAAGACAAAGGAGGCTAAGGAATCCCTTGCCCCAGATAGTCCAGCCCTTGCTTTCCTCCTGTATACTCCCTCATCTTTATACCCTGGACTCCCTGGTGGCCAGTGCAGGGGGAAGACATGGCCTTTCTGAAGGAGGTATCCCTCCCATACCTCACCAGAATCTGAGGAAGCTCTGGGGGGATCTGCAGAGTGGGAAGAGATGCCTTGGGGAAGTCGGGCTCTTCTTCTCTGCCTCTCATCCTCCTCACTCTTATCTTGCATCACTGCATATTTGGAGATGACCTCATCTAGTCGGCTCATAGCCAAGCTCCGGTTTTCGCGCAGGCGCCGGGCTAGGGTGGGATCCGACAGCGCAGGGTCAATGCCTATGTGGGAAAATATATAGTCAGCGTATTCAGTCCAAACCCTAGCAAGAGACTCTCTCTCACATGGGCTGTTAGCAGGCATCCCGCAAAACCCCTTACCTGGCCTATAGTCATCTGTGAGGTGGCAGCCAAAGTTGTAGATGAGATCAAGGTGGCGTCGTTCCTGTAGCCTGATGCCCACATCTCGGAAGGCATCCTGGGCCATGAGCTGGAGCTGCTGCCTGGGGAGGCCAAGGCTGTGACGAGCAGCTGCCTTCTCTACAGCCCGCAGCACATCTCCATAGTCCGGGAAGGTATCAGGCCCTGGCTTGTTGATAAGCCGTTCAATACGCCTGTTAACCTCTGGGTAGCGTGTTCCACGGTAGGGGATGCGCTGCTCTATGACACGGCCTGTCAGTGAAGAGCAGTCTTTCAGCTCACACAGACGCCCAAAGAGGCGGATTAGTTTACGCTTCAACCGTGCCTCCTGCAGATATGTAGAGTCGGGATCGTCCAGTTCTGAGAGATCCAGCTCCTTCTCCTGCAGCCTCCGTATCTCTGCCACATAGAGAGCTAGCAGCTGTTCCAAACGCTGGATCTGCCGCCGGGAACCACGAGTCCTTGGAGGCTCAGAAGCAGTGGTCTCAGTATTTGTGTGGTCTGAGGACTGGTCAGTGGGAGGGTTATTTCCAGAGGGCTCACTGGAGGTGGTGGCAGCAGGGGACAAGTTCAGCTTCTTCTTGGCTGAGTGGGCCTTGAGAACAGTTAAGAGCTCGTTGATGTAGACATAAAGCTTAGCTGGTCGGCTCCGGGCCCGAGACAGGACCCGAGAGAGAATGTTGCAGAACTCCGCTGAAGCCAGAAATACGGAGTGGGCACGCTGCTGCCGGTTACATAGGAATGGGACCACTTCAGGGTGGTCTGCCGTCTGCATCTTACACAGTTCAAGGAACTGGAGGGTCCAGGAGGGGAGACAAGGGAGAGGGCCAAGACAAGAGAAAGATGAGGTGGGGTTAATGGGGCAGAAAAGGAAGGAGAGCCAATCAGCCATCCCCCTCCCTGGAGTATAATCTTCTCCCCTAAAGCTCACCTCTTCAAACAGCTTCTCATTCTCCAACTTGTAGCATTTCTTGCCGCCAGAACTACTGCTGCCTCCGGCCCCACTGGGCTCAGAGGAGCCAGGGGCTTCTGCCTGGGGTAAGGCCGGACTGGGGGGTGGGTGGGAGGGCCCTGGCTGGGCAGCTGCTTCATCTTCATCATCATCATCCAGCACAATGATGCTGTTATCGGTAGCCATGGGGGATCAAATCCCCCGGAGGGAGGAAGTTGTGGGGATTTCAGAAGTCCTGCTGGAAGGGGATGGGGCCTCAGAAAGAGCCCCTCCAGCATAGCCCCATCCCTTCATCTCACATTTCCCAATTTCCTTGGGTTTCAGTAACACCACATCTGCTCAAGTGTCTTCACTGCCTATCAGCAACCATTAGTTAGTTCTAAATGCTTTTCAGGTTCTTCACCATCTCAAACTTAAATCTGTACCTCCCGGCTCCAACAGTCACGTCGATTTCCGGTCTTTCTGTTTCATTTTCCCACTCTCACACTGGCAAGCTCGAAACTCAGGGCAGCTTCCCACATTGCAGCGTATCTACTTGACACCCTCTTTCACAGATGCCACACCCCCGTCGACACCACTCCACGGGGTTTCCCCCTTTCGCCCTCAAGCATGTCAAACCTACATCCCCACCCTATCCTGAATGGTCATACCAACTTCTAGACTCTGTGGAGGAAGAGGTTCCTTCCCAACAACCCATTCTCCTTACCATTCCTTGAATTACCTCCACAGTCCACCCGCTGATAGGTGTCCTCAAACTGGGGCTTTCGGTTGGAAATATTTCACCTCGAATCCCCTCCCTCTCACCCCACCCTAATTTTTCCCATTTTCTCTCCGTGGCCCCCAACTGGGCTTTCTCGATTCCTCTTTGCTCTCTCAACCCCCTTCCCCAGGTGAGCTTCCCGCCAACTCCCCCCCTCCCCCAGTTCAGACCCCGGCCGTTCGCTCCCCTTCAGGAACAGGAGGTACCACAGCTTACAACCACTATTTCAGCTCCCAGGTCTCCACAATACCTCTCCCTCGATGTCCCCACCCCGTCTACCCGCACCGTGAGGCCCCCACCTCAGAAACGGTCTCACGAGGCGACCCTTGCCGCTGCTCTCAGAACCTCGCATGGTTCTCTCCGCCTTCCTTCCCCCTCCCACCGCAGTCCCTACTCAAGACCGGAAGTCGCAGAATTTCCGTCTACATGCACCTAGGCGCAGCCATCTTGTGGTACGAAATGTAGTCTTCTTGTGGCCGGAAGTGGATGTAACCCCGCCCCCGGGTACCACCAGTGCCGCCCACGTAGTCTGCGGCTACCTTCACCCCCTAACCTGTAGGGGGCCAAGTTTGTAGCCTCTGTGAAAACCAAGCACTTGGGAGTCGCCATTTTACTGTACGGCACTTTCTGCGCCCGGACTTGTGCGCACAGCTAGTGAAGCTCTTTTCACCCGGTGCTTCTGTGACTCCTCCAATCAGAAACTTCCTGCGTTGGGCCCAACCGTCGTTCAGACGTGTGCAGGGAGGACGGAGCAGTTTTCTAAGTGGGGGAGGGAAGACGGAACTGGGTGGTCAAGGAGTTAGGCTCCCCACGGCTAAACAGGGTTTTTCACAGAAATGTGGGAATCTCTGAAGAGGGAAATAAAACCTTTTCCTTCCGCTGGGCTATTAACAAGTTTTGCGGCCATGATTTCCCATCTCCCAGGTATCCGTGTGCACGGCTTAATCAACTGCTCCCGTCCCTTTTCTTCCAAAGGCTGTGCGCCTCTTGCCTTCGCCCACGATCTGCTTCTACACTCATATATATGCCTTCAATTCCCCATCGTATAACGCGAGTACACGAATGAGGACATCACGCTACACAAATGCGTTGTTACTGTTTTATTGATTTACTTTTCAAGCTCAACCAAGTTAACTAATGACCAATCCATCCATCATGTTCTGTTTTTTGGAGGGGTTCCTCTAAGCGCAGCAAGTGCAGACCTGGAGGCTGTGATTTGTAGAGTGTTGCACCTGAGGCAGGTGATGGGGCCGAGGCTTTGTGGAGAATTTGTGCACAAGACCACTGTGAAGGTGTGGGACGAAATGAGACTCGTAAAATACCGTGGGTCTTGTCTTTTCCTATGGGAAAGCTGAGGAAAGAAGGAAAGGGAAAGAAAGCGATTGTGATGTCTGTCTGATCCGCACCTGTTCTGCTAGCTTTAGGGGTGTGAGAAAGACTCCTCGAGGCAGAATAAGACCAGCTTTAGAGGAGTTAGAGGGACTCATCAAAGCTGGGCTACATTCAGAAGTGACCTTATGGGAAAAGCAAAAGGTAGACACGACTCCAATCAGATTTTCACCTGCTGCATCCTTGTGTATTCCATACTGGTATAGTCCCATTTTCTAGAACCACCAAAAGCCCATATATCCTTCATATTTTTGGTATCCCAGAACCTAAAACCGCCCCTTCCATTAAAGAATTCCACATCAGTTCTCTAAGCTGACCCAAAGGAAACTAAACCCACTGCTATGGAGTCCATTCCAACCCGTAGAACCCCATGGGGCAGAGTAAAGTTATCTATCGGGTTTGTTGTTGTGTTGTTAAGTGCCATCGAGTCCATTCTGACTCATAGTGACCATGTAACAGGGTTTCCAAACAGTTCGGTGAGTTTGAACCTCAGTCTCAGGTGTCCTATAGGGTTTCCAAGGCTATAAATCTTTAGGAGAGATTGTCACATCTTTCTTCCTCAGATGACTAGTAGGTTGGAACCTTTTTTTTCAGTAGTGAGTGTTTTAACCTCTGTGCCACCAAACCTCCCCTCTGTAAGGCTACAGTCTTCAAACTGAGACCATGAAAACTCTTCAAAGGGTACTTGAATGGGTGTTTTATGGGTTTTAACTTCTAGATCCTCAACCTGTCCAAAAAAAAAAATTTTTTTTTTTGAGGAAGTGTCTTCAGTAAAGGATCTTCTTCCTTTCACCTTTCACAATAGACTTCCTCCCTCTACAAAAAGGAAGAGAACATAGCTTTCAATTGTGAAATCTCCTGGGTAATCTTAACTTGTCGCAAATAAAAAGATCAATAGCCAATTCCTTTTATCAAGAAACCGTAAACACCATCCTGTCTATCCTATTAAAAATTTTCTTTTTCTTTTTAATCCTTATAAATATTTGTAAAGTCTTTCTTGCTTGGACCAATTCTACTTGAAAAATAACAATCCAGAAGAGAAAATTTTAAACACATATGTCTATACATAAAAATCTGATAAGGTTATCAGTAAAAAACTTTCAAGTATAAAAGCATAAAATTGCATGTGAGGAAGTAGAAGGTAATAGTTCAGAAAGAAAAAGGAGTAATGAAAAGAAATGATTCTCATCTGTTAAGTAAGAGCTTATTTATATATTCTGAAATGGGTGGTGATGGGTGTCATATCACTATGACATCTCTATTTCATGGACATTCAAAAGGTTAATTTAACTAGTTTATTTTGAAATGTGAATATTATGAATATGCCAATGTTGCTTTAAATCCTTGAAGCAATCTAATTTATGGTGAAAAATTTTAGATGCCTACTTCAAAATATTTGACAAATGACAAAAATTTTCAAAATTATTTCAGAGTTTAATTTCAAAACTATTTTTAAAATTTTAAGATTGCTATTCTTAGTTATACAAGTAAGTGTCCTCTGGACAGACCCCCAACAGTCCCATTTCCTTCCTGTCTTCCTTTCTCCCCTCTATAGCAGGGAATGAGGATGTTTCGGGGAAAGATAGTCACCATTCCAGCTCCTCTTCCTTCTCAGGTGTCATCAGGAGCCAGTCCCCAAACTTTGCCCATGGTAGCCACCACAGCAGCTTATAGGCACTGTTCAGCATCAACAGTGCCAGGAAGAGGATTAGGAAGATAAAGAAGGTCTTGTCCAAGGTCCAGCAAAAGGGCCCCCTGGGAAGAGAGGAACCCTGGGCAAATGCCAGGAACACATGCCCCTCATTCATATCGCCCTTCTCTTCTGCCATCCTGACTCCCAGTTAGACAGCTGCCTGGGTCAGGGCAGTTAGCATGAAGCCCTTGCTTAGCACTGCCAGGATTAAGGGGCATGGGGTGACTCCAGCAACTGTCTGTTTTAACCCTAATTTCTCCACCCAAGAGAGAGCGAGGAGAGAGACTTTGGAGTAATCAATCATTCAATGAATGGTCTGGACTAAAGGATCCCTAAAATCCCACCCTGTTTTACCAACCTATGATTCTCTGATTTGGAGCCTGGAGGCCCAATGTAGAGACAAGTAAATTAAAACAAGCAGGCAGCCAGCTGTTCAAGGACGGAGTAGAACTGCTCCATGGGGTTTCCAGACAGCTTCATCTTTTTCAGATGGAACAGCTGGTGGGTTCAAATTGCTGTCCATTCAGTTAGCAACTTATTACGCCACCAGGGCTCCTTTGTCCAAGTCTAAGGTACTGTGGAATCCTGGTGTGGTGCTGTGGGATAAACCACTGGCCTGCAAGGTTGGTTTGAACCACAAGGTCAGCAGTCCAGAGTCACCAGCAGTTCCTTAGAAACTCTCTACAGGGTGGCTATGAGTTAGAACCAACTCGAAGGCACTTAACAACAACAACAAGGGGCTGTGAATTACCTAATTTGGCTCTTCTAGCTATAGTCCCCATTTTGTGATGTAGTGTAAGTTCCAGCTATGATGCCATTTTGGAGTTTGCTGTTCATAATATTACTGAGGCAGGATTAGGGTGGGATGCTACAGTAATCACCACCCTTCACATCCTTACACTGCTTTGCTCTGGTAAAGACAGTTCCTTTGTGGGTCGGATCTGCATTTAGCACACTGTATGAATGCTTTGGCAATGTTCTTTCTCTTCCATCTGGGGTCATCATCTGACCTCCAATTCTTGGAATTTGAGCCAGTAATTTATCATCTGATCTAAATTGCCAGCTTCCACAGCCTTGTCAGCCAGCTGTCATCGGACCTGCTGATTTGGGTTTCTCAGCCCCTGCAACCATGTGAGTTGGAAGAGACCTCCAGACTACTCCAATGATTTGGGACTTGCCACTTTCCATAACCGCGTGAACCATTTCTTTGAGGGTTCGTGAGTTCTGTGAGATGCTTCAGCATATTATGGACCACAATGATGAAAGGGACAGTACTGAAGAGAGAAGGAATAGTTAGTTGACGGAGTGGTACAGTAGTTTGGAAAAGTTGGACATTTGGGACATCTTTAGCTTCTGTGTTGATCCTTCTAGAAGGAATTATTCATGCAGTCATTCTGGGTCTTAAGGTTTTGGAACCCTATAGAGAAAGAGGAGCGTAGTAGGTTACATGCTACGCTGCTAACTGCAAGGTCAGCAATTTGAATCTACCAGCTGCTCTGTGGGAGAAAGATGAGACTTTTTTACTCCTGTAAAAATTTACAATCTCGGAAACCCTATATAGGGTCACTATGAGTCAGAACTGACTCCACAGCACACCACCACCATAGAGAATGGGTAAGCATGTAGATCTTGTGTGCTGCTCAGTCAAGAAGGGGGCAGGATCTTTTCGTTTTTAATTGGCCTCTAAATCACCTTCCGGACTCCTGGTGTGGCACCGTGGCTTAATGTATTGGACTGCAAAGGCGTTTGAACTGGACCGCAAGGTTGGTTTGAACTGCAAGATCGGCGGTTCAAGCTCACCAGCTGCTTCTTGGAAACCCTATACAGGGTCGCTATGAGTTGGAACTGACTCGATGGGTTGGGGTGGAGGCAGGCAGGAGTCTCTCCTGAAAGACACACCAGATCTGGAGTCTATACAGTCACAGTTCTCCAGACTGCCTTAGACTGAGATTGCAATGCTAAAGCCTAGATCCATGATATTCTAGTGACAGTCCCTACCTGCCAGGGAAGGATTATAATTGGACAGCATAAGTATAAGGGGTGGGTCATAAAAAGAGAAAGATTCTGATTGGTCAGTGGTTCTGAGCCAGGGTAATAGAAACCTACTGTGGCAAATCCAATATAACCGAAACCAGTTGCCAATGAAAAAAAAAATCATGGTCACCCCCTGTGTGACAGAATAGAACTGTGCTCTGTAGGGCTTTGAGTGGCTGATTTTTCAGAAGTAGATTGCCAGTTCTCTCTTCTAAGGTACCTTTGGGGAAGACATA